TAATTGTACCATAATCCATTGAAGTTATATTACTAAGTTGTTGTAGCTGACTCCACACACCCCATCCGTCTCCAGGCTTTTTATTTTATTGTTCTGTTTTAAAACATTTGTTTATGAAAAGGTACAAATATGTACTTTTCCACTGGGAAAAAAAATATTTAAGGTACACACTGTTGTAACTTTGAGGTAGATTTACATTGTTTGCACCCTGATGAACAAAAAATGTACCTTTATTTCTAACAGTTTAAATGAGTTTTTCTCAATGATTGACCTATAATGAAATTTTGAAAAATTGGTGGAATTCCCCTTTAACACAAACCATGCAATACTAAGGCAATTGCTGATTTATTTTGCAAATGTTACCAAGGAGTCTGTTCCTGCTGTATTACTATGGTAAGACATTTATACAACTAATGCTTTTATGATTACTTACTGTCGTATTGATTCCTGCATCATACAATAATCAGAAAGCTCCTCTTATGCTTTCCATGCAGAATCATTCATTTACTCATGATGCGAATAATCTAAAATACACTAACAACAGCCACTGCATACATGCATGCAGCTAACCTGGGCCGTGCTACCCCAAAGCCTCGCTGCGTGATCATCCCTATGCCAAGCATGTGAAGTGCGACTTGCTCTACCATACACTGAAGGTCGTTTTTTGTGATGCCTTTGGGAAGCCAAGCTCTGCATAGGAATGACGAAAGGGACTGCAAAAGCAAATGCTGTGTTTCCATGGAAACCAGCTGAAGGCTGACCACACATGCTTTAAATGGCTGCATAGGCATAAGAGCCCACGTCAGTGGAACATTGGTGGGGTTTTCCCTTATGTCACCAGAATATTGCGAGGAACTATATGCTGTTCTTTACATCCTCTGCACATAAAGCTAAGTCTCAATGATGAGTTTGGCTTTTTACTGTCATCAAAGATTGTTACACCCACACACCAGCCGCTGATGATGTCACACTGATCAGAAGATGCTCCTTTAGAGATCAATCAAAGGGTTAGTTGTAGACTTGCAGAAACTACAAACTATAGACTCAGGAAATGTGAGTGAATATATGTACAGTACTGTGCAAATGTCAGAGACCACCTTTCATTTTTTTTTACTTTCAGTCAAAACAGCCACTTAGTACAAGCTATTTATTTTTCAGGAGACATTTCTGAGAAGGTTAGATACAAGAAGAAACTTGCAGAAGGAAGGGGAAAGTCAAATGACAATAAGGGAAAAAAAAGAAGTTTCCAAAGCTGGAGTTGAAAAATGTGTTAAAAAAAACAAAGAAAACAGGACTAACAACTGTGCAAGGACTGGTAGACCACCGAAACTGTCACCATCAGATAAACAGCCCTTAAAGCTTTCATTTTGAGAGAGATGAGAAAATCAAGCTCTACTTTTGCATCAGATCGGAAAAAAGTGTTTCTGTCCATCTTTCCACTGTGAGAAGACAGCTCAACACTATGAGTCTGAAAGGATGTGTAGCTGTCAAGAAGCCATTACTGAGAAAAAGAAGTAGACAAAAGAGAAGAACATGTGCACTGGAACGCTGAAACTGGACATCTGAAATGTGGAATAAGCTTTTATAGACTGAATCTACAGTATCTACAGAATCTACAGTCTTCTAAGTCTGAACTTTGGAGGTGTAAAAAATCCCTGCAGATTTCTTTAAAAAAAAAAAGAAGAAAGTCTCCTGAAAATAAGAGACACTGTAATATAGGAAAAGAGTGGACACAGAATACTGAAAATGTTGATATTTTGTGGTTGAGTTGTTTTTATGATTTTATGTTAAATATTTGCTTTCTGATTTTTCTTGACACCAAAAGAATTGTGCTTCATATTCATTTTGACTGAAAATTAAATAAATAAATCTCTGACTTTTGCACAGAACTGTTTGTCATATTCACTGATCAAATGTGCCAAGATGAAATTAGAAGTTGTGTCACTTGTAATGACTTTTACAGAGCTGTAAATCACTGTCTTTGACTACATTGTGCAGCTGCTTGTCCATCCAAGTGATATGGTGCATGGGATGTGACCATCAAACTTTATGGCTAGTGCTAATAGGTATGACTAGAGCATTACATAGTTGAAAGTGTCAACGTAATATATCATGACTGAAAAACAATATAGCTAGAAAGATCAATGTGAGGGGTATACACTACTGCTACGGCCTGCATTTGACAGGATTATAATAACTTCCAGAATTCTTTCAGTGTATTGAATGTAGGATGTTACAGGCAAAAGCAAAAGAACATCTTACAATGTAGATTCTATTCCAATAAATGGCCAGCATGTAAGTAGTTCAGCCTGTCTGTGCTTTAGACTTCTTATTAGGCCCCTATGGCATATCATATTTAGCTATAGCAGAGCTGAAGCATAAGTCCTAAATCCAGAGAGGGAGCCTCCTCCTACTTCCACTCGCCATCTTTTCCAGAATACTGTGCAAATCTGTGAAACTATTTTGTTCTATTTTTGTGCTTATTAGCATTGCTAAAATAAGGCATTTATTACAGCATAGATCAGAAATCTGAAAAATCAATAGGTGTAGATAATGTGTGGTGGTTTGAGGCTTGACTGTTCTGTTAAGCCCAAGTAATAAATACATTATAAAAGTAAACATTGTCTTTACATCAGGTGCTAAAGCTGAATGAAAACCAAGAACATCAACCAAGAGGCCTGAAATATGCTTAGTTAATATATCTTTGTAGGTCATCTATTAACAACTTTACTGAATTTTGCTTAAAGCTAAGTAAAATTGTTTTATATCAGTGCTTATTGCATCTTCTACCCAGAGTAAGACAGAACTGTAACCTAAATAGAGCACATCTTCTGCTGTCCAAATACATCAGTCACGTTGTTCTGCCTCAATCTGGCTCTATGCAGAGTGGGCTGCTTGTGATTACTCCAGTTTGATCTTCCATAACTTTGAAGATTCTCCCAAAAACAAGGACAGTTAATATGCCACCTATGATCTTTATTTCTGCATTTTATTATGCTTAAACATTTCTTTAGAGCACTTGAGTGCATGCAAGCAGTGACCTAAAAAACAGCTTCTGGCTATAAACAAAAGCTTGCACTACCTACCTACACTCTCACAGTGAGTCCTATACAAAGGAAAGTTTAGGGGTGCAGAGTTAAATGGGACATATCAGTATCAACACAGATTCACATCATGCTTTAGAAGCTTAACCTGAAATTGCACCACTGAGGTCAAACGGAGAATGGCATCAACTGAAAAAACACTGTAGACATTTCAAGCATATTTAACAAAAAGCAAGTGGGCCATATGGGCATTACGCACATTAAAACATTATGATATAATTCTAAAAACTCAGCAGAGTAGAGGTGTCCTTTACAGCCCTTCATTTGCTGGTCAGACTTTTTTTTTTTTTACAGAAAGTAGTCTACATTTACCCATTGTGTTTTGCAGAAGGTATTATGCTCCATGTGGCTCTGCTGATGCAAATAACTTGTATTCAAAACCTTGCAATCGCTGCAAGCCGTGGCTGCGTCCCAATAGTTGAAGGAAACTTCCTTTCCTATCAGCTTGCCTTCATTTTGCCTGATCTGTAGCCCATACAGTCTCACTGCTTATAAATCACTAGAGCTGACTAGCATGTGGATCCACATGGCTACCAGATCAGGCAAAACCAAGGCGAGCAGATAAGGAGGGAAGTTCTATTTAACTATTCGGAGGCAGCCCATCAGGTGGGGGTGAGTAATGACATCTCCACAGGTCACATCTCGTGTGTTCAGCCAAACCCTGAATAGGCCTCGCTTTGAGCACTCGGCGACAACCAACATCTACAGCGGCTTACAACGTTTAATAGCTTGCATCATGAACCAGTAAAAGCCATTTAGAAATTATTTGGGTCTCCATATGACTCCAGCATGATCAAATCGATGATGGTTCACAGTAAGAGTAATCGGCTCTTTTGTGTTCAATTAAGACTGCAGAAAAGTTAGTCGTGGTGAATTCTCGTTCAGACGAGGCTCATTAGCAGCTCCCACTAAAAGTCTGGAGCCAGAGCGCTGCCTGGTAGAGCTCATATCCATTTTAATACTTACCTCGGGACTGCGACGTGGCGTCAGCTGTGGGGAAATGATCAGGTCAACGGCCCACTGTTGAACATGACGTGCAAATAACTCCATATAACAACATAGACCTGCATAGGCTATTAATAGTTTCAGCTGGCCAACGTTAGGCCAAAACTGACATGTGGCTACGTTTATTTCACTCTCGGGAGACGAGAACCGAACGACTACGTTCACAGCTAGCCTTAACTTACACTGTCTTTTCAAACCAACATTATCAAACCAACTCTGCTAATAAAAACGTGAACAAACTCATTACAGAGGCCTTCACAGACCAACAATAGCCATACTAACTGAAAGGGCAAACCACGCAGCCCACAGCGCTCCACTCAAGCGTTTTAAATGCGAATGTGAAAAGAAATGTTTCTCTCAGATCTAGCTAACACGGAGGGCTGTAAGAAAACGCCAGACATTAGGTGGTAAACCAGAGGAGGCATTCCTCGCGCTTGGGCCTACAGCACTGGCGCGGACAATGCTCGGAGTGGCTTTATGTCAGACTACGGAGCTTTTTAACATACTTTAATATAAACCTACACAAACTGACCTCAGCTGACAAATCGTGGTTCCCATAAATGTTCCTCATTGATTTGACTAGCATAATATCTGTTTCTGGCTGCCCCTAGCGAAATCATATTTATTGTGGTGGGATGTAGTACATAAGAGGGGCTACAAGAAAGCACGAGCATTAAATCAGGAGAAACATTTGTTGTGTTTGGGAGAGAGCATGAGGACCATTCTGCGCGTGGCTAGCAAATGTAGCCTAAAGAAAGTTTTTTGGACAAAAACTCACCTCATAAAATATTCATTCTTGGAATAATAGGCAAAATATGTGGTTTTATATATATATATATATATATATATATATATATATATATATATATAGCTAATGATTCTAATCCAACTTTAAAAATCGAGAAGTCTACGAATTTTGATTTTCCGAACAAATTCTGAACCACGTGAATATAAACTGGATAATGCTGACTGGTTGTGAAGCTGAAGGCACATTCTCGAGAGCAGATTGAATTAGACTGCTGCCTCAACACTAGGCCCGTGTCGAAGGTTTAATAGGCTATAAAATTTAATTGCTAAACTCCTAAACGTTACAGCTCTTGGCCAGGGAACTCCCCGCGTTTTCCGATACACTCAGAGTTTATTTTCTAGGCTGTGCACCAGCAGGGACATCCATCTCTCAGGACGCTTTCCTTAAAATGATTTCGCTGCGCATTTAAATGCATCTAAATACCCAAGCAACAGTTAAGGCCTCTGCCGATTTCATTAAAGGCAAGCAATATATATTTCGGCCTATGTTTTGCTTATATAAAACTACTCAGCCCGTGAGGAGGATATTTGCAATAAGCCTGTATTTGGGAATATGTACAGCGGGTCTGAATGTGCACTTTTTTAATAGCTCAACAAACACCTGCTTAAAAAAAGTTCTCGTAACTACTCCAAAAAAATTAAATATTATTATCACCTATATAACATCATAATATTATGTTAGCACCTGCCAATGCACCCATTCACCTCTCTCGCTCACTTTTTTAATTAATAACATTGAATTACATTTACTGTTGACCAAAGCCCTGTGGCCTGACCCAGCAAATACTACAAAAGGATTACTCAGATTAATGCAAAACACAGCGGCCTGCTTTCTCTTCGATAACAAGTAAAAATTTATTCTAGGAAAATACGGCACATACGGCCGAGGGGTGGAAATGATACAAAAATAAAAACGAGAAAAATATCATTTCTTTTTTTTTTTTTAAACGTTGTAAACACAAACGATCATTCAATTTGAAACAATTAAACTGAACACATCGTAAGCTAACGGTCTAGGTCTAATTTTTATTAGTTTGAAAGTCATAATTAAAACACACTGACCATCAACGTGAGAAAGATAGCGACTCCTGTTTTTGCGATTGAAACTTTTTTTTTTAGAGTTAGTAGCTCAAGTGTTGCAGGTCGATAGTTGTGAGCGTCTCGGAGAAGAAGTCAAAAGTCTCTGCTGATAAACCCATGGGAGAGTCTGACAAACTCGGGGATATGGCATCTGAGAGGTGAAGGCAGGAATCCGAGGAGAAAACGTGGAAGTCCAGGGCCGGGGGAGAGCCATTGTCCCGGGCAGATGCGCTCTCCGAGGCCATTGTTGCTGGGCAGAGAGGAACAGTGGGTGACGGGTTGGGAAAATGTTTCAGATTTTTCTCATTGCTGCTCAAAGGAGAAACAGTAGAGCTTTGCGCGTCCCCATTGTGTCCATTCTGCGAATGCTGAAGAGGCGATGCGTTGTGCTGGAACGCGTAGCCCTCCCTCTCCGAGAGAGCTCCAGAAGAGGCTTGCGGCAGAAGCGCTTTCCCGTCAGCCGAGGCCTCCAGGCTGGCCGGCCGGCCCTCGCCGTGGTGGTTCTCCTTGCACTGCGTCTGGCGCTTGTGCTTCATCCTGCGATTCTGGAACCACACCTTCACCTGCCTCTCGGTCAGGTCGAGCAGCGCGGCGATCTCCACCCGCCTCGGCCTGCACAGGTACTTGTTGAAGTGGAACTCCTTCTCCAGCTCCAGCAGCTGCGTGTTGGTGTAGGCCGTGCGCAGCCTGCGGGTCGTCGCCCCGCCGCCTCCATCCGCGAGCTCCGGAGATCCTGTAAAACAGGAGGAGGGGGGTGAGGATTGTTGGAGGAGAAATCACACCACTGCGTTATATATTACAGAGATGCCACTAATTACAACACGGCGCAGTGGGCCCTACAGCTCACCTCGCAAACTTGTCAAATATATGGCGCTTCTCGGGGGGGCATAAATTGTTTGTGGGACTCGAGCCACGGCGCTGGGAGTAATTTGTGTCTTCGGCCTCCCCAAAAGCCAGAGCGCAGCGATGTGTCTGGTGTGACCAGCCCGAGAGGAGATTAATGAACACGGCAGCTGCCGACTTGAGGAATACCTCAATCTATCACTCTTCATTACTGTCAAATATTAAAATTCACGCCCCGAGGAGCGCGAGCGGAGTTGAGAAGTCAACACCAAACTCGCTCCCTTTGTAAAAATGAATGGTTGAGCTGAAGTTCGTTTTCTCCCAGTCAATTTCAGTCATTTTTACCAAACTACTGTTTAATAAAGTCAGCTTTAGTTGCAGAAATGAAACCTTAAAATGGACCCCATAATCATTATTTCGGCAATTGTCAACTTTAGACCGACAATTGTTGAACAACAAACACTAGTTAAATAATATCAGCTTAAAACTGACTTATCAGACATAGGTTGGAAATGTGAGACCTTAAAATTGACCTGCTGGTCATTAATTCCTAAATTGTCAACTTTAGATTGACTTAGCAAACATGGGTGGAATTATGTCAGCCCAAAATTCTTAAAAGCTAATAAAAAAAAGTAAAATAAACAATCAACATTAAAGTGGACAGGACTCTTATTTTACCTTGAGGAGAGAAATAAACCGGAGAAGGTTCAGTGGTGGCTGCAGCCGAGCTCTGGTTTTTCTTTGAAGCTTTTTTCTCCTTCATCCACGGGTATTCCGGCGGTAAGGAGGCGGCGGGCAGCGGGCAGGAGCCATTGGGGTTCTGCTTGGGGCGGCTGTGGCGAGGGTGGCTGCCCGGGTTCAGGCTCGGGATGGTCTGCTCGAAAGGAGGAGGAATCAGTGTCGAGCGTGAAAGCGTCGAGCTCTTGATTGATGAACTTTGAAATGCATCAGCGACAGGGGGAAAGGACGTCAGGCACTCAGCGAGCGACGGCTGACTGTTGATAAAACCCGTCTCTCGCTCGAATTCGTAATTCATCTCCGAGGAGTCTTCACAAGTCACCGCTCACGGATTTATGGCTCGAGAAGAAATAATGAAATACAGTGTGTGTGGTGGGGGGAAAATAATAAATAAAAAAATAAAAAAATAAAAAAAAATTAAAAAAAACTATATTGCTGATTACGGCCGTGTGGGAACGGCGATACCATTAAACTATTGCTTTCATGGAGACAAGGTTGAAATTGGACCGTATTGCTTGTCACATGATTACCTCTGTCCAATGACAATTTGGGGTTTAATCAAAAGAAGCCACTGTCTGTGTGATTGATCGAGAGAAGTCTGAGAGGAACGCCTCGCGCTCGGGGACGGGCCAGTTTATTCGCGCATTTATGGCCAGTTTGTCCGCCGCTCGGTAGATCATAAGTAGCTCTGGCTCTTTCTGCAGACAGTTCTATCTGAGCCACAGCGTGTCCGCCTCCTCGCCCCCACTCGTCGTCTCCCACTGTAGCCGGACTGCGGGCCAGCCCGCCTGCTCACTCTCCACACCAGCAGCACTCGACGACCGTCCCGACCAAAGAAACGCGCTCATCCTGCTCACGAGTTTTACCGCAACTTTGCTTAGAATAATGCGCGCTCTCGCACGGGGTACGCGCGCGGGGCAGAAACGTAGAGGCGCGTGCACGCGCATAGGGGAAGGGAGGAGCGCGTGGACTCGCGCAGTTCTCACTCCAGCAGTTCATGCCGGTTGGAAATGTTGACGCGCGCATGCGCATCTGCATGGGCTTTGTCCCAAATCGATGCCTTTAACTGTGTGTAAAACTCAAGTGTGTCTGGCTTTTAAAATTCAGTAATAAAGCTCGAAAATGGGATATATCCTGTTTCTCTCTGTCACATAACTAAAAATATTTCATATATTTAATATTTCATATATAAGTATAACATATATGTAAATGTAATTCTCTTTTCGCATACACACCCAGGAACATATATATATATATATATATATATATATATATATATATATATATATATATATATATATATTTATATATATATATAAATAAAACTCATCAATTTCCCCAATCAAGAAAGTCCTATCTATCTATCTATCTATCTATCTATCTATCTATGAGCTTACTTTCATAAGACCTTTATTTTGTTATTTATTCAATTTAATAATCCCTCTTTTTTCATTTTCAATCTAATCGTGCCAAACTTCCTTTAAGCTTCACTCCTACACTAATGCATGTAAACTAAAGCATGTAAAATAGCTTATATACTGTCTCCTTCTCTGACCTTGCAGTGACTTTGAGGATTTGAAGCAATGCTTACTGGACGGCCCAGTCTACTCTCCATAGCTCATATTTATGAATGCTTGATAAATGTATAAATCCAGAGCTGTTTTCAGCTGTGATGTGTTTTTTTCCTTCCTTTTGCCTTGAGAAGAGCTCAGCTAAGCGGGAGTAGGCCATAAGCACTTTATTGCTTATATTCCAAACAAAGAGCCCTGGAAGCCTGCACGCTATCAATCTTACTCGCCAAAAGGTCTGACAGCTTCGTGCCCTAAGAACACATTTAAACCATCTAACACTCTCTTAGATCATATGTGGCCAGGGAGAAGGGAACAACATAGAACTCACCATGAAGAGTTTCTCTCCATTTATAAATACGTTTATAAAAAATATTTTGTTTGGGGGAATAAATGGACTGACCTTAACAAGAATTTCAGACCGGATATGCTCGAGGACGACATTGGGGATCGAATATTCGTTCACTCTGCATTATTTTCGCTTTTCGAAAGGGAGACTTTGTGGAGGAGAGGATTTAAAAATGAACAAGGCTGCGAGACACAAACAGAAAGGTTCTGCCGTTGCGCAGGAGCTTTTGTATACAGAGCATGTGGGTGTTGGCATTCTTCAAAAATACCCATTTCGTCCTACACATTTTTCTACAAAGAGGCAGAACCTGTGGTTTTTCTCACTATTTGAGCGCACAGAAGAACATGGACTCAATAAATGTAACGAATTAGTGCTTATTCCATATTTACTCCACATTCACCGGTTGCCTCGTTACTCTACATTTGTTTCCAGATATGTTTATTTTTACTGTGTATTATTTACATTTTTATTGCTGTATTGTTTAAATGCTATTTTAGGCTGTATGTGCTGGAGATTCATTTACAGGACAGTCTGTGTAAATGATGTGCTTATTTATAGAATAGTTCAATGGGAGTCATTACGATCCAGTATAAACACACATTTAACATTATTAACTGTTTCGATTGCAGCAACTTCACTTTCATTAATTTCAGTCAGAATTACTGAATGTACATTTATGATGTAAATATTTTGATTGTGTTGTAAATGTGTGCATTGCTTAATGAAGAGACGCCTCGATTGCTACTGGATTTATTAGTCAGAAATAGGCAGAACAATAATAATCAAAAAACGCCTCTTTGTCATTAAAAAATATAACGTGTTCTCCTGCATGGCAGGGCTAAATTTAAATAAATCCTATATGCTAATTTCAATGTATTAGTGAAGCTACATCCATTTTAAAGAGTGAGCAAAATGTGAGCCATATATTATGTGATAAAGTACAGCGTTTCCATTTAATTCGGTGACTCTGATATCATCCTGTTCATGATCTCATATCGAGAATATTGCTTGTACATGCAGTTATAAAAGCAGTCTATGGTTATTGGCCTTTCTCTCTGATAAGGCTTCCAGCGCCGCGTCTTTGTGAACGTGTCTGGCACGATGCAGAGCCTCGCTCACCGTCTGTTACACTTAAGACTGAATGCTGATCGCTGACATTTATAAACTCCTGCAACATTAAAAATGGGAGAAAACTTGGACCACTGTTTTACTCGAATAAACGAATAAAACCGGCCAATGAATTTTGATGAACACAGATCATCTTCCAATTGCTGGACAAATAACCATGCATTATTAAATATATCAGTTCTTTTACTTAATTAAATTTAAAATTTATGCACATATTCTGCACAGAGTCTATTATTATTATTATTATTATTATTATTATTATTATTAAGCGTATGCTGCATTTATCCAAATTCTGATAAATAACAAGCTAAGCTTTTGTTATCAACATGGGACTACTTTACTCGTGGATGTTATAAAAATAAAAAGACGGAGGCCTACCCAAACAACATGTCCATCTCAACCAACAGCAGAGAAAAACAATAACAACAAAAAAGTCAGGCCCGTGCGTCCTGCGCAAAACAAAGCCACCCCCAAGGTGAGACCACTGCCTGACTCCGAATCCAGCACCTGGTACGCTACAAATCCTACCCGTGCACACTTCTATCATTTTAAACCCTCGTTTGGATTCTGTTGATGGAGCTATTCGACACTCTTGTTGGGTTTTTCCTCTGCGCATGCAGTGTGAATGAGCGCGACTGAGGCGTATATTGGGTGTTTATGGTGTCTGCAGAGGCAGCAGCCCACAGTAGCACAAGCACGCTGGCGTTTGATGGATGACCCTCTACCCACACACACACACTGCTCTGGGTTGTAAATGAGCTCCATACTGCCATTGTTCGTCTGGAGGTGTGTGTGTGTGTGTCATTTCCGGCCATATCAGCTATAAGACACTGAGACAGAGCTGTACACAGTCCTGTTCAGGACGTGACGTTGAACAAGTAGCCCTTGCTGCAGAGATATGATGTTAGCAAAATGCCCAGTTCTCGTGGCTATCTATCTATCTATCTATCTATCTATCTATCTATCTACAGTTGTGTTTAAAAGTCTATCAACTGTCTTAGAAATCACAACTTTATGCTTTCAAACCATTTGTTCCCAAACACGATGCATGACGCTTAAGCTTATTGAAGAATAGACAAATGGACATTAAACTTAAAGGGCTAATGTCATACATCTTATTTGTATTTAGTTTTTCCATGATGTCCATATATGATGTTTGTGCATATTTTTGTACTAAAATAGCCATATTTTTACATTTCTCTATTTCTACATGATCATTTTCCAACCTGTCTTCATCCCTTAGAATTAAACATGCTCTTTTTGTAACTGTGCCTTTAAGACTGATATATGTAAATGAGCTGTATTCTGAGTGGCTGCCCTGTATTGTACCTCGTTTAAAAAGCACATCAGGCTGAAACACAAGATTAAACTGTTGAAAGCTGAATAGACAGTCTAATGTAAGTGTTTTTCAGACATCACAATTCAATATGGGCTGTTTTTGCAGCTCCATATATGAACTGTATGGACTTAAGAGTTAATGATATACCAATAATTTGGATTTCCGTGACATGAACCCTTTAATGAGGTGCAGATAAACGAGTATTAGGCATATTAGGAAGCTGTTGAACATGAACGAATGCATTACATCAACACAGTTCTTGCCAAAAGAAGTAAAATGAAAGGCTGCAATTGTGTTGGTGTAGCATTTGTTATTCACGTGCAACCGATTGACACGGTTGAATCATAAGACATTTTTTCCTGCATACTTGATCAATGTTGAGTTTTATATATACCATATATATCATACCAGCATGTACCATTGAAGATCTGTGGTTTCTGGCTCATTTGCCAGTTCTACGCTATGTCTAACTGTACCAGAACGCTTTTGGGTCAGTGGTTTGCACTGAAACCATAAATAAAAGCAAAAAGTGACCAGCAAATGGCCATGGCTTTCTGGAATGGGATGTGTTGGCGGTGTCACTAAACCTCCTGAACCCAGGTGCTGATCCTTATAGCCACCACTTGAACATCTTGCACCAGACCACAAAAAATGGCCCTGCTTGTCTGGAGTTGACCTCGGGTTTGATGTATTGCGGGTCGTGGGGTCAGGAAAGAGCACTGAAAACCAGCCCTCACGGAAGTCTCGTGTAT